TGGCCAGGCCTTTGAAGGACGCAACGGTACAAATCTTGTCGAGAGCAAGCTGACAGTTCATCTCATTCTCATCAGTAATAGCATGATGAAGAGCGAGAGAGACGGTAACAATGGACGAGACAACATGTGCTCTGGACCCCGTGCAAGACACTCCAGTATCGTCAATATAAATGTCAAAATCAACAGAGGGGACAGAGGGGAGCTTTTCGAACGAAGACAAACCATAAATGCGTATATGAGTAGTGGCCATGCTGCAGCCCGCAATGACTCCTTTCCGCACAAAGTGCGGCCCATCCAGGATGCCAGCGATGGAGACAAAGCGGCCACACCTATACGCATAAAGGGTAAGCCTAGTCAGCACAGTCGGGAAATTATGTTGGTGACATCGCTGCTCTAAAACGTCTAAGTCAATCGTCTCATAATACTTGAGCATATCATAGAAGACGCTGGCACTCTCTTCCTTTCTAGAGGTCCCCGTCTCAGCGCGAAACGATTGACGCCAGACGACATCCGCAGCTCCACGAAACGCCCCCGCAGCCCAGTACCGACGGGGGTGTTGCTGCTCCCAGTGTAAGGCAAGGGGACGCCTGAGGCGTCCCCAGACCCTATACCAGGAGCAGAACACCCCTATCGGTCTGTAGCCACCGCTGGGTTTCGAGAGCAGGGCAAGCAACACCGCAGAAATCTGGCGCGGAAGTTGGCCAACCGACTCCATCAGCTGAAAGAGCATGCCAAGCGCAACCAGTCCGTCGTCACACAGAAGGTGATAGTGACGGCAATCAAACCCGTCATAAGTGACAGCCGAGGTTCTCTTATATTTCTTGCTGACAGCCCGCAACTGAGCGGGATCGGCCCTGGGGAGAGCTTCCACCAAAGTGCAACCCACAGGATTGCCAGCTCCGACATCCCAAAACTTGGCAAACTTGGTGCCTTCGTGGGACAACAGAGAAAGGGGGTCGGCAACAACAGATCCATCTCTGGCGAGGGTCGTGGTAGGGACCCAGGGGGTGGGGTCACGGACAATCGCGTGCACCCGACGAGCCCCTTGATCAAGGCCCTCCGTGAGCCAGGCTCTCCAGTCAGACTGCGCTTTGGACCGATACTCCCCGTTGGCCCCTTCCAAGACAGTGATGAGGGTGCACAGGAGCTCATCACCTTTCACAATTTGCTCAGAAGGGGCCTGGCGGAGAGCGCCCTGCAAAGCAGCAGTAAAATCTTTAACACGGCTGAATGAAGAGGCATACTTGCTAGAGTGCCGAGAAATCGCGGGAGGAGGGCTAGCAAGCAAAGCATGCAAGCTGGCGGCCTGGCTCCCACAACCTTGGTCGGCCCGCAGCAGCCCCATAAAAGCGCGAAACTGAGCCACCAGCCAGCAGATGGCGCGGTGCTCGGGATACCTTGGCTGAGAATCTCGGCCTACTAAGCTGCGCCACACGAGCTGAGGCCCCTTGCTCCTGCATCCTGCCTTCACCAGATCCGCCCCCAACAAGTGGACCAGCTCCTCCTCCGCCTTATCAGCCCACGCTCCATAGGCCGGCGACAAGTGGCTGAGGGCAGCCTCGGCGTCGCCTGCGGCGACAGCATCAAGACCAGCCTGAGCTCGCGAGATCACATGGTCCCAGCACGGTGGGGGAAGCATCGGACCTATGACTCGGTCTCTCGGCAGCGGCGGTGGCTTCCTAAAACTGAGGGCCTTGAGGGTGGCAGGGGATCGGTGGAACTGAAGCTCCACGGGACGATGGGGACTAAGCTCCGTCGTCAGATCGATCCAGCAGGAGTCCACAGCTTTTCCAAGCCCCCCACTGCAAACGAAGTGGTCAAGGGTGGAGGGGGCCCCCTGACCAAAATGAGTGTGACCTCCAGGAATGATGATCTGGCCCTGAAGCTGGGAGACAAACTTGCTGCTCTCCAGCTCGCAAGGAGAGACGTTGAAGTCTCCTCCCACGACAAAACAGGAGCAGCTCGTAGTAGCACAGGCGCCTACGCAACTCAAGAGCTCCAGATTACGCTCAGTCAAACCTTCCCCATCATGCAGGTAAACCGAAAACATGTGGTAGCTGAGACCACCAGGAACCTGAATGATCCCGTGAGTGGCCCGACCAGGAACGATAGCGTGTCCAGAAGGGGGGGGGAAACAGACCAAGCCAGCTTTTCACAAGCAAAGCAGTGCCCCCTGACGTGCCTTTATCCGTGAGAGTAGCTGGGGTCCACAACGATTTCCAGCCATTACGGGCACACCAGGAGGAGGCCTGGGCGACTTCTTCACTACCCGCCAATCTGTGTTCCTGCACCATCAGGACCGCTGAAGGCGTGTGAGGTAACATCTTCTTAAGGGTGCCCCAACTGTTGCAGTTGAGAGTTCGGACTGACAAAGCGACCGAGCTCATCCCTTCAGGCTCCAGGAGGCCAGGAGGGGCAGGGAAAGAGCACGGGAGGGGAGCCTGGGAGATCCTGGGGCCTGGCACCACCTCAATCGGGCACTGAGAGCCAGGCGCAGCTAACACTGGGTAAGCTGGGCTAGGCCGAGCAAAATCGGCAGGCTTGGAAAGGGTAACCTGCAGGGAGTCGAGCCTCTGACCATCACCAGACAAAATTCGTTTGGCCCTCCAGCAAGTGTGACGAACAGCAGCCTTCAGGCCACAGCCTGAGGGACACGCACCACGGGAGCGGAGGAAACGACGGAGGTGAGGCCGAGAGGCCGAGAGACTAAAGTTAGACAAGTAAGACGGCTGGCCCGCAAAAACGGGCCCAAGACCGTCGATGTGGCTCGGGCGAGAATAGTCAGGCTGTCGCGGTGCCCCCCCGCTGCCCCTCGGCTGCGGGGGGGGAAGCCTGTGACAGCAGGCGTTCAGCACGAGCTCGAGCATCTGCGCGATCGGGATCTGCCGCAACGCTGTCCCCTGGCGACTCGGCCTGGGGGGCTGAGGAGGCAGCTCCAGCAGCAGCCCCGCTGTCGCCCCCCGCGGCGGCGGCGGCGGCAGGAGGAACGGGATCCCCGTCTCCCGCGGCTGGCTCTGCTGCTTCGTCTCCGTCCTGGCGCCTCCTCTTGGCAGCGAACCCCTCGAGCATCTTCTGGTCTGCCTGGAAGGCTTTGGCCCTGACCAGCGCATCTCCGAACAACTTGCGAACTGCATCCTGAAGAGACTGCTCGAGCTCCTGCGCCCTGCGATTTGCCTCCTCGAGGTCATCGCCCGCGATCTCGTAGTCGTGCTGAGGAGCCAGCAGTGAGTCGATCGAAATCGGGATCTCCTCAGCCTTGCCCTGGATGATGGCCGCAATGTCCAAACAAGCGGCGGGAGGCGGGCCTGGAACCGAAGGGAGTGCGACTTCTTTGTGAAGCTGCTCCACCAGGGCCGTGTGCACCTCTTCCGCCTGCTTGAGCTCATTCGTGAGGGTCTGAATTCGGCTCCGCTGCACAGCCAACTCAGCCTCCATCTTCTCATAGACATTGCAGGCCTTGTCGGTGCGCTCACGAAGCTGGCGAAGATCATGGAACGCCTTGTTGACCTTGGCCTGCAGCGGAACAGCTGGGGCTGCAGCAGCACGGCGCTTCTGGTCCAGGATGGACTGATGTTTCCTCGCCCCCATCGTGTCACCGCACTTCGTGAGCAAATCCACCAAATTCTCCAACTCGGGAATGGAGGTGTTGCCGTGATCCACGGGCTGAGGCGCACCCCAGCCTTGACCAGCACCGCCTCCGCCTCCGAGACGACCTGCATTCGAGTCGAACTGAGGTCCAGAACGTAGCGGAAGGCCAGGCCAGCCGCTGTGTCCTCCCGCCCCGCTCGAGTGCCAACTGCCTCCCCACGAGGGGGGGGCATACGTGTCGGGGTCGGGTGCAGCACGGTACTTCTTGCAATGCTTGCAGAACCACCACGACCTTTTGTTACGCTTGCAACCGCAACTGCCGCATGTCCACGTCTTCCCGTTAGCCGAGAAAGCGGACCAAGCGGCGTCGTCGTCAGCAGGAGCAGCTGCAGAGCGCCTCCAAGGAGCCACAGCACTGGACGCAGGCGCCATGGCTGAGGTGGTGAAAGAATCGTGAGACCTTGCTTTAACCTCCAGAAGGAGGCTCTCAAGCCAGCACACAAATGGTAACAGCACAAGGTGATCTGGCTCAGCAGAAGCTTGGGCCAGAAGGGCTTGAGCGGCCCCTGGCCTGGGGGTCCCCCGGCGAAAAGTACCCCGACCGCAGCCCGGGAAGGTCCCGGGAAGGTCCCGGGAAGGTCTACTCAGAGATGGTTTTCCTCCTGGGTACGGCCTCTCAGGCCGCCCAGAGCGCGCCAAGAGGGCCCCAAGAGGCCCCCAAGACTACTCAAGAGGCCCCCGAGACGCCCAAAGGACGCTCCAAGACGCCGAAGATGATCCCAAGACGGCCCAATAAGCCGCCAAGACGCTCCAAGTGGCCTCCAAGAGGCCTCACAAGAGCGCCCCGAGAGGCCAACATCATAAATTTTACGATGGTTTTGGAAGGATTTTGGCCTTGTCGCATTTTCGGCTTTCCGATGCTCCAAGACGGCCCAAGAGGCCCCCAAGAGCGCACGAAGACGGCTCAAGAGGCCCCCAAGAAGGCCCCCAGAGAGCCCAAATGGGCCCCGAGACGGCCCAAGAGACGCCCAAGACAGCCCAAGAGAGCCCCAAGACGGCCCCAAGAGGGGCCCAAGATGTGGACCACGAACCGAAACCTCAAGCCTTCCGCCCCGAGAGGGCCCCAGGAGGCCCCGAGAGGCCCCCAAGATGGCCCAAGATGCAGCCAAAAGGCCCCCAAGAGACCCCAGGAGGTTCCACGGAGGCTCAAAAGGGCCTACAAGGCTTCAAAAATGTCTTCCAGGCGCCCCCGGACGGCCTCTCAAGAGACCCCAGGGCCTCCCAAAGAAGCATCTGGACGACGGCCCTGTTTGGCCCCAAGAGCGCCGCAAGATGCCATCGAGAGGCTTCCTCCTCCGCCCTTGTCTCTTTCTCCTCCTCCTCATATTTATCTACATCCTCCTCAGTTCCTTTTCATCCTCCAGTGCTCAACTGTGTCCACCAGTGCTCCTCTGCGTCCCGCATCATGACAACTCGCTTGCGAATCGAACCATCAAGAAGCGACAGTACAGTACAGCAACACGAAGCATCAAGAAGCGCCCGCCGAGCCTTTTCCACTCTGGCAGGGGCAGCTCTGCGCGCCCGCCCACGAGCGCCTGGGCGCGGCCCAGCCCGCCAGTAAGAGGGGAGAGAGAAGAAGGACTGCGCCCGCAAGCTCACGACCTCTGCGCCCTCCGCGCGAAGCGCAGTGCGGAAGCCCGCAGCCGGGACGGCTCCTTCGCCTCGACCTGCGAGGGCGTCAGGTGCCCGAAGGCCTCCAGCACCTTCACCAGGTCCCACTGATGGTATGGGTGGCTTGGGCCTAGACCGCGGCGGCCGCCAACCAGGTCGAAAAGGGTGGGCTCATGTGCATCGGCGTTTCCGTCGCCTCGGCGGGCGCCAGTGCCAGGTGCAGCACGCCCCCAAGAGCTGACCGCTGGAGGTATGCAGGAAGAGGGGCCGAGCACGCTGCTTGCCATCTTCACGCGCTGCTCTGCATGCCGTCGCAGCCAGCATGTGCCGCCGCCCATGCGCGAGGACCAGAACGACCACCAGCGGCACGCCCGCACCAGCCCACAGGTGCGTGCGCAATGGGCGGGGGAGTCGGAGTCGAAGTGGTCGGAGTGCCTGCAATCCTCTCGGAAGCAGCCGGAGGTGGCGCCGAAGGCGGCCACGTTGACAAATACGCCTGCGCCGTCCGCGCCAGGAAGGCTCTGACCCTGCTCGATGCAGTCGGGCCACCTCGCCCCGGGCTCGGCTTTCGCGGTGGTTTGGAGACCCTGACAGATGGTGCCGTCCTCCTGAGTGCCAAGCCTGGCAACGGACCACCTTGGATCGGACAGGTTGTAGACGGACGTGGCACCTGACCGAAGGAGGCGAAGGCGATGCAGGTGTCCGTCAATCCTGCTCTCCCCCGCGGCCTCCAGAATGTTCAGGACTTCGGCCTCCTCGGCGAAGGCGCCCTGGGTGCCCTCCGCCCGGATGTGCAAAACCTGCCCAGCATGCAGGCCGTCCATGTCGTGGCAGCCGCGGCCGCCAGCCGCGCCAGACGCCTGCCGTCCAGCGGAGTCAGGGTTGCGCATGCCAGGCTCGCCGCCAGATGCCCGCGCCCTCTCGGCCGCGCGGTGCCTTCTCGCACGGGCACGGCCGAGCCGCTCGAGGTGCCTGTGCAGCTCTTCCCCGAGACTGCGCAGCGAGCGCACCTCTGGCGCCGCGCCGACCAGCTCCAGGACCTCCCGCGACTGGGCCCGCTCCTGCTGCGCACGGCGTTCCAGCTCCTGCAAGGTGAGCGCCTCGACGCCATCGCCCAACTCTGGCCACGCCGTGTCTCCCCCCGCCCCGGGCGCCACTTCTTCTGGGCGCGGCACCGGCTCCAGGACGACAGACGGCTGCCACGGCTGCGGCAGCAGCGGCCCTGACACCCAAGCCACCGGCACCTCGTCGAGACGTGGACGTACGTCGGGACTCTGGCCGCCGTCGTCCTCCGGGGGCCCTTGGTGCCGCACGCCGCCAGTGCAGGCCTGCGCCGCGTCATCCAGGGCGTCGGCGAGGATGCCGCTCAGCGTGCGTCCATCCAAGCTGCCCGTGGGATCGCGGAGCCAGGCGACCACAGCAGGCGCGACGCCGTCCAGCGCGGGCAGCTGATCGCACAGGGGCCGCAGCAGCGCGGCAACGACGTCCTCCGCGCTGGCTCCGTCCAGGTCGGAAACGCTGAGGCTTCGACAACACCTCTCCTGGGTGAAACCCCGTTGCCAGCAGCCCTCGGCGTGCTCGCCCACGCTGCAACATCTGCCGAACGTGTGCGACTCGTCCCAGCACCCCGCGGAGTCCAAATGCACGAAGCCCATGTCCCGAAAGATACTGGCGTGCACGTCAGCCAGGCGCTCCAACCAGGCGGCTCTCCTGGGGTGGCTGGCGACATGCAGGAGCCCTGCACCCGCCTGCACCGCTGATCGTGGAGCCGCCGAGGACCCCTCTTGGGCCGCTGTAGGTCGCACCTCCTGCCCAGCCCCAACGGCCACGGCCGCCAGCTGCTCGGGATCCTTAGCCAGCAGCGTCTGGGCCGCGCGGGCCGAGCACAGCTGCGCCACCAGCTCCCCGCCCGCACGGCCCAGTTGCTCGGTGACGGCCGCGGCCAGCCGCCCAACAGCCGCCGAGTCAAACTCCTGGCCGAGAGGCGCGACCTCCAGGCGAGGCGGCCCCAGCCGCACCTCCAGCGGCAGCCCGTGCGGTTGCCGATGCACACTGTAAGCGTTGTCCACACACCTGAGCCGCAGCTCCGCGCCTCCCATGGCAGGCCCAGGCTCCAGTTGCGCCTCCTGCGAGGCCAGGCTCCGCAGCAAGAGCGCCGCGTGCAGCAGCTGCCCCTTCAGGGCACTGTCCGCCGCCGCCGCCGGGGCAACGACCGCTCGCTGCAGCAGCCCTGGCCGCAACCAGGAGCTGGGCGGGGCTGCCGCCTCGCTGGGCACCAGTCGCAGCGACAGGGGCCCGCCCCCGATCGCGAGTGCGTCGGCGAGCAGCGCCGGCGAGATGTGCCCTCGCCCGGCGCCCTGCCCTGGGCGCGGCCGCTCGAGCAGCACCTCGGCGAAACCGGTCGCCAGGTCCACTTTCAAGCCTCGCAAGGCGGCGAAGCGCGTCTGCCGCGGCGCGGCCGGCTGTGGCAGCGCCGCCCAAGGGTCCTCCTGCAGGCTCTGCGCGGCCACGCCTGCCTCACCGAGGGCCGCGCCGAGCGCCCCAGGGTGGCGCTGCTCCGCCTCCCGAAGTGAGCCATCCATCACAGATGCTTCGTAGAGTCCGAGAGCTGCCGCCTGCGCTACACCTGGCACGGTGTTCAGCTCCACAGGGTCCAGTGCCCGCAGCCTGGCAACAAAGGCAGCACGCAGCCGCGATGCGATCGCCCCAATCTGCTGAACTCGTGCTGCCGGCACCAAGGGCGGCTGCCAGAAGGGGATCTGCCTGGCAAGCCAAGCAAGTCTGTGCTTGACTGCAGACTCCAGCCCGCCGTCGTGCGTCGCGACGCCCGCGACGGGCCTGAGCGCGGATGCGCAAACTGTTAGGACGATGTACTGTTGCCCCAGGGTCAGCATTGACATCGCAATATAATGCGCCGCGCGGACGACGCTTAGCGCCTTCGAGACCGCCTCGTGGACGTCGCCAGTAGCCTCCAGCCCTTGCCGCAGCCAGAGGCCTGCGTGAGCCAGGCCAGAGGCCACCTCGGCGGCGCTCGGGGCTGCAGACGCAAGATTAAGGTACAGGAGGCTCGCGCGCAAGGGATCCCCAGCCGCGCCCGCCTTCAGCGCTTCCGCCTCAGGGCCTGCCGGCAGCTGCCCGAGCTCGCCCACGAGGCCGCGCAGCGCCGCTGGGGCGCCGCACAGGCCAGCCGCGAGCTCAGCGGAGACCAGCCGGCCTGAGCGCCCAGAGCGCAGCAGCCTCACCATGTGCTGGGAAGCTACCTCCGCCAGCAGCGGATGCCCGAGGCCTCGCCAGACGGCGAGCTCCAAGGAACGCCACGCCGCAAGCAGCTGGCTCAAGTCCACGGCCTGCCAGCAGCGCGTCACCAGCAGGGAGCTGACGGCCGTCCAGACGGTCGGCTGGCCGTCCGCGTCGGCAGCACCTGCCTGCTCTGCGAGGTAAGCCGCCGCGCCCGCCAGGTCGCATGCCCCACACTCGAGAGACTCGGCGGCGGTTACTAGCGCGTTGAGGCCGCCTCCGTCCCACGCGGCGGCAAGACGGGAGCGTGCGCTCGACGAAGCCATCGGGCAGCTTGCAGCGCTGGCAGCCAAGGGCGCCTCCAGCCAGTCCGCGGCGGCCTGGGCAGAGAAACGCAGCGCGGAGGAGGCGAGCTCGGCGTCTTCATCACCATGCCGCTGCCCTAGCAGCACCCGCAGCTCGGCCAGCCGCCCCTGCGCCTCTGGATCGTCCGCGGCTGCACGACCACAGCGAGGACACCGCGGGGACGCCGCCTGTGCTGCCTCGTCGTCCACGTCATCCCCGCCTTTCTCCTGTGTCATGTTCACTTCCAGCGCGTCTAGCGCCGAGGCCGCAAGCTCTGAAGCCAGCGGGCGCGGCCCGCCCCCGCGAGCACACACGAGGCTGGCATTGTCACTGCGGACATCCGCCAGGAACCCCGCGGCATCCGCCACACTCGACTGCAGGGCCAGCCAGCCGCCCTCGTCTGCGGGCCACGCGCCAACAAGGGAGCCCCACCGCGAGCCAAGGCCGCACCCGCGCAGGCCCACCGCCACCGACCACATTGCGGCGCGCTGCCACCGCTGAGCGAGGCCACTCCGAGGTCTGTGTCTCAGCTCTGCGGCGGCATCTGGCTGGGCGCATGGCCACGAGGGAACAGCGCTGCCAGATGTGTGCGTTCGAGGCCGCGCACCTACCTCGCTTCCTGGGTCGCTGTCCATGCTGCGGAGGTGAGCCAACAATGTGGCGCTCGACGGCTGCTGACCACCTCTCCCGAACTGCTCAAGTAACGACTCCGCCAGCCCCTGAGCCCGACGCAACATTGCCTGCGAGTTGCCAGCCATGGGCTCAACCGCGCCAGGCAATACTGGTTCGCCAAAATGCTGATGTCTTGAGCAAAAATGCTACCGATCCACATGTGTGTGCGCGTGCCTCGGCAACACGCATTCTCCTATAACACAAAGCTACAAGGTTCGCCTTCGAATCCCACCAGCCCTTTTAAGGGAGTAGGTGTTCTAGGATGGTTGTCTCCCATCTGCCCTTCTTCCCCTTCGGGGAGGGGTTGATTACTGTTCCTTGTTAATGTAAGCCCCTGTCCCAGCCGGCCGGCGACCAACCCGCAACCATGCCGACTCCATGAGGGCCCGCCCCCCACCATCCCTGTCAAAAAGCAATACGCACCGCATTATGCCTCCTCATTTGGAGGATGCGCGGCCAACCCGATGCGCCCCCCCACACCCACCCCACACCATCCCTGTAAAAAAACAATGCGAAGTACACTTTGGGGCAAAGTCTTGAATCATGTTCGTGAGGCCCGCGAGCAATTTGTATTGTTTTCTGACAGGGACGGCGGAGGTGTCAGCATAATTCCTGCTGCGCGCAGGACTACAATCCCTGACAAACAAAACAATCCAACATGCACCTCGCGGCTAAGTCTGGATCATGCGCGGTCAGCCCGCGATCACTGTCAAGTGGTTTTTGACAGGGACAGCGGGGTTGGTGGCGCGCGGCCCACCAGACACAATGATGGGCATTGGCTTTCGAAAAGGATGGCGGGGGCGGACATGTTTCCCGATGTATGCTGTCACGTGCGCAGGCGCACTTGACGTACTCTGCACGTGCCCCTAACGTGGCACACCTGGCGCGGCTGGAGTGTGCGGCACACCTGGCGCACTCGGAGCACGTGGCGCATCTGGTGCACCAGGCGTGCCTGGCACGGTCGGGCCCCAGGGGTGCCTGGCGCGCGTGGCGCCCCTGGCACGCGTGGCACACCTCGCCCAAGCGTCGCGCACCTGGGGTCGGCTTTGGTTCTCAATAGCTGCCCATCCAAAGACGACCGCTGAACATACTCAGGCTCGGGTGTTACTATTTGTTGGGAGGGCGGGTGGGAGTGAGCTAGACGGCTTGCGGGCGGGTGGGTAGCTTGACCCCTCCCCCTACCCCTACCCCTCCCCTGGACCTGGACGGGTCCAGTCGCGAGGTGTCAGAGCGTCCAAAACGGACTCGGCGAGAGAGCCAAATTCACATATTTCACTAAGGTGTTGGCCCCATTTTGGCCTCTTGGGGGGGTGCTAAATTGGAGCTCCCCTCTTGTTTAATCGATGTCCTCCAAGATGGCCCAAAGATGGTCCCCAAGAGCGAGTTTCTTTATGTTCGGCGATGACGGGCGTCATGGGGGGGGGGGAGGGCGGGGGGGGGTATGACGTGACGCCCCCCCCCCGCCGTGTGGTTCCGGCACCACAGCCGCGCCCGCGCGCACGACGCGACGAGCGACGAGCGACGAGCGACGACGACGACGCGAGCAGCATGTAAGTGGCGATCTGCCCATTGCGCCTGTGTACACCACAGCGCTGGCGTGCACCACACCGCGCGTGTGCACCACTGCGCACCGCAACTGCCGTGTGCAACGCACCGCCCGCGTATACCACAATACTTGGGAGCACTACAACGCTGGTGTACATACACCGCAGCAGCCATGTGCAACACAACGCCTGCGTACACCACTGTGCTTGCGTGCACCGCAGCGCCTGTGCACGCCACAGCGCCTGTCTACACCACAGCATCCGCGTGCAACGCAGCGCTGGTGTACACCGCAGTGCCTGCGTGCATAAGACAGGTAGAAGGAGCATGTACGTCAGGATCTGCTGCGGACAACTGAACGCCACGCCAGGAAAGTTCTGAGAATCGAATGCGACGTTTTTCCCTCGTCTTCCTCCTCCTCCTCCTCCTCCTCCTCCTCCTCCTCCTCCTTACCCCCTGTCGTGCGGCTTGGCGTTACAACGCACGTGCGCATCTCAGCGTGCACCGCAGAATGGTCGATTGAATCGGTCCACTTGGTTCTCGGACGGCCAGTTTAGCTGGAGCCTCCTGGACGCAAATGGGAGTTAGGGTGATGCGGGCGGACTGGGGGGGACTCGTAGATTCCAGCGGCGCTCCTTCGTCCATGAGGATTTGTTTTCCATTGTTTTCTCTGGAATCCACACGCGCTCCATTTTGTCACAAGGATTCCTTCTGAAATTCTATACACAACAATGGTGCTGCGTTGCACACGGCTGATGTGGTGCACACAGGCGCCGTGGCGTACACAGGCACTGCAATGCACGCAAGCATTGTGGTGTACACTGGTGCTGTGTTGCGCACGGCCGATGTGGTGTACGGAGGCGCTGTGGTGTACACAAGAGCTGCTGTGCCCGCAGGCACGGTGGCACAAACTGACGCTGCGTTGCACGCGGCTGCTGTGGTGTACATCGGCGGTGTGGTGTACACAGGCGCTGTGGTGCACGCGGGCACTGTGTTGTACACAGGCGTTGTGGTGCATATCGCCACCTACATGTTCGACGTCATCGACCCCCTCCCCCCCCAGGTGATTGCCGTCATCGGCCCGGACTTAAAAACAGGCTCCAGCCGCGTCCGCGCGCACGACGACGATGAGCGACGAGTGACGAACCACGAGCGACGACGACGGACGACGACGACGACGACGACGACGACGACGACGACGACGACGACGACGACGACGACGACGCCTGCGGACCAGACACCTATGCGGATTCCTACGGGGACACCTACGCGGATCCCAATGCGCACGGCGGCCGTGCCCGGAGCGCACTTGGTGGGGGGAGCGTTACGTCATAGGGGGGGGAGGGGGGGAGCGGGGCCATGACGCCCGTCATGCCCCAAGCAATAAAGAAACGGGCTCCAAGGCTCCCAAGGGCGCTCCAAGAGAGCTCCAAGAGGTGCCCAGGAGACCTCAAGAGGCCCCCAAGAGGCCACCAGGATGCCCCCAAGAGGCACCCAAGAGACCCCCAAGAGGCCCCAAGACCCCTCTTCGCGCCCTCTTGGGGGTGCCTCTTTGGCTGTCGTGGGGCCCTCTCGGGCCGTATTGGGCCCTCGTGAAGACCTCTTGCGTCATTTCGTGGATCTGGGACGCTGCGCACATGAAAACAACGAATGTGCTAGAAATGTACGTTTTTCCCTACGGGATTGGGACAATGATTGCCTCTTCGGGCCCTCGTTGGGGTCCTCTTGGGGCCGTCTTAGGGCGTCTTGGGGGCCTCTTGGACCGTCTTGACGCCATCTGCAGCCGTCCGGAAGCCACGTTGGCCCGTCTGGGACCTATTTGGAACCTACCCGAAAGCTCCGGGGGCTGGGGAAGCTCTGGGAGGCTCTGGGGAGGCTCTGGGGAGGCTCTGGGGAGGCTCTGGGGAGGCCCTGGGGAGGCCCCTGGGGGGGAGGGGGGAATTCGTGTATTTCAGGTGCCCATGATGGTCGTCGTCCACGGGGCCGCCAGGGCCAGGTTTCTGGTATATGAAAGATGTGCACCTGGACTGTTTCATCGTTGATCGCACGGACCGTATCTGGTACACGTCTGGAGCTCGGCTTGCCAAGCTGCGAGAGCCTCGTCGCGGTCCTTGCCACAGCAAGTACAACCCAGACTGCCGGCATCAGACATGCAAAGGACTCCACCGCAAAGAGAAGGGGTCATTTTGCTATCAGGCACTTTCAGCGTACTTTAGTCGCGCAGCGGATTGGTGGTACTCAAGCTTTGGACGCCTGGAGATGAATATCGGCTCTGTCATCGACTTCCTCCTCCGCAATTGTCACTTCGGCAATGCTCCTCCTGTTTATGTAGAGCTTGTGGCCACAAGCATCTGGTCTGCGCCAGATGAGACTCCTGCATTCCGTGACAACCACGGCGCCCTTTTCAGCTACCCTCTCATGCGCCATGAAGCGGGAGACACTCCTCCGGCCGGTGCGTGCGCATGTGAATGTGCACGTACATGCGTAAGTGCACCTGTTTGAGTCTACGTACTACGTCTGTGAATGTGCGTGCCCGTGCTCATGAAATCGCATATTCTGAAACGCTTGATTATGAACAGCTGACGGCCGATGCGCTCACGCACGACATCTGCCCGCGATGACAACCAAGCGAGCGCCCGCGAAGGTTCCAGGCATCTCGCCCACGCAACATGGCGCTGTTTTTCGAGCCAACCCATGTCGATGTTCCTCTCCGAAGACCCTGCGGTGACTTCCTGCGACCATTACGTCAAATACTGGAACCTCTTTGCGGCCTGGCACAGGTCGACCACCTACACCAGCAGGGCCCGCGGACGTAAGATTCCCCATACACACTCAGAGGCCACTCTGGCTCCAACCATCACCTCTCCACATTGCCCGCCATAGGCGAACAAATCCACTATCTGCTGGCGTCATCGTGGCCTCCAGCTAGCACCAGCGTCAATTCCCAGACTCGGCATGCAACGGGGTCCCAATGGGTGGCGCTACCCAGACAAGAAACGCGCCTCCCCTCGCCCCAGTGCTGGCCCAGTTCACCTGGCTGGCTGGCCTGGCAGAGGGGTATCCACCTGCGCTGGGACCCCCGCCAGCACGGCGCAGCCTACCATTGACGGCACGCTGGCATCTCCAGAAGCGCCCACTTAACGGGGTCGCAGCATTTGGAAATCAGGCGCGGAATCCGCACCAGGCGACAAGATGAGCAGGATCCGCCCCCAGGGGCCCCCAGGAACGTTTGCAGCCAACGCCGGACGCCACCCAACATCAAACCCCGCTTCACAAGCTTCCATCCCCAAACCATACGTCTCTACCCTCCAGGGCCTAAACAAAAACGAAATTACCCTGGCGAAGGACCCGACCATACGAAGTTGTGAGTAACGCATTTGTTGTTATCGCCTTCGGTGGAGCTACCTATGGGGCACGAAACGTGTGAGCCGTGTGCCGAAATGGGCGCGGTGGTGTCATGCGAGCGCAGCCACTGGGGCCTGCGGTGATGGGGCCACACCAAAATGTGTGAGCCGTGTGCCGAAATTGGTGCGGTGGTGCCATGCGAACGCAGCAAGTGGGGTTTCCAGTGGAGCTCACCATGGGGCCACAAGACGTGAGGGGTAT